TTTTCAGGTTTCAAGTAAAAAGCGTGGCATTACTTATTAGTATTGCGGTGGATACCTTACATTCGCGAACTTCGTAGCAGTTCGTGATGGCTAGCTTATTGAAAAAAAAAAACACAAAAAAAAAACAATATTAGCTCGTCATTAAAAAAAAAAAAGCTACATTATTTGTTAGATTTTTCTTTCTTTTTAAGTAGTGTTCTGCAGCATTTAGTGGTGAATCTAGATTGCCAACGGTTCGCCATTCGGAAACTACTTAAAGCGCACCGAAAGCCCGAAGACTTCAATGGTTGTTGTGGGAGAAGTGAGTTCAAGAACCAGAGACGTACTCATTTATTTTCTTACGTGGTCAATTAATATATTTCTAAATGCATGTATGTTCAGTAGCCCAGTTGCTGTTTTATCAAGATGTACAAATTCAGTGTACGTACAAGCCGTGCAGTGAATTTCTACGACTTTTTTTTGTACGCCTTGTGTTTCGCAGCGTAGCCGTCGTCGGCGTAACCGCGCTAAATTTAGCGGGAAAATTTACATCACGTGACCTCAACACCAACTGAATTCCCCCTAAATTTAGCGAGGAATTGAATTGATGTCAATTATTCGCTAAATCTGGCGGAGAAACTGAAATTGTTCATAGGTGACGTGACACCAAGCAATGTGACGTCATTTTCTTTGCTAAATTTAACGGGGAAACTGAATTCGTGTTGAGGTCACGTGCCGTCAATTTTTCAGCTAAATTTGGCAGGGAAACTGTGTTAGGAGGGGATAATACGGAGGAGGAGGATGGGAAAGTACGCAGGAAGAGGAGGGGAGTGTACAGAGAAGGAAGAGGGGAGAGGAGGAGGAGGAGATGGAGAAGGGGAGGAGGAGAGTGCATACCCTCCCCTCCTCCTCCTCAAGAGCTGCGCTTTAATTTCGCATTACACGGATTTGTAAAGGTCTTTCACTTTTTTATTTTGTCTTTATTACAACCAAGTCTTGTAAGTCTTTAGACTGTCTAGAGCACAACGTACGCTCCAAACTTGTTTTCTCCTTGAGATGGCAAGTACAGTTGAATCGCAATTCTTCGGGTCGTGGATGGCTATGCAGGGTTGATTTTGGGCTGTAATTTTAGAATGCTTTTTTTTTTTTTTTTTGTCGCCAACGACTTTATATTTTGAGTTTAATATAAAAAAAACACCTCCATCTTGCCATTGTTTCAAGAAACGGTGTTCAATGCGTTAGTCATTTCTCTAGTCAAACGTAGTTTAGAACCGAGAGCATTCACCAAAGACCGTGTGACCGCAGATAAATTTTATAAAAAGGCTAAGGCCCTTCTTCAATGGAGCGGTTGAACCGCAGGTATCCTACACACAATGATAGTGTGCGTGAACTGCACTCGGCATTATCGTAGTGTGCGATATGGGATAGGTCAACGCTTCCCATGAATGTCTCAGAGTGAAAGCAATAACCGCACAGCTATACTTCGTCTCACCCTACGATGGACTAAAGGCAAAAGCTACGGACGGCCAGATCCAATCATGAGTCTCTTAATTCCGCCTTTATTCCCTTCGATGCACGTATCGGTGCCCGTGGCTCAGATCGCTGATAGAGATGGGCGGACTGTGGCTCGAATCTAATAGCACTGAGTGACTCATCAGTCTACACTGCGAAGAAAGCCACTGTATAGAGGCTCTTTACAGTGTCGAAGCTATAGAAATGATGCAGCGCTTTTTGATTCGGAGCATTATTCGACCACCCCTAACCGATGTTAGGCATGTTATAGATTAGCGTGGAACGTGATTGGACCTGGCGGCCCGTGGCTTTGGCCTTTAGTCCATCGTAGGATGAGACAGAGTATAGTTTTTTTTTATGGTGTTTCAAGAATGCTAATTGGAAAATGTCTTATTACATCCTACATATCAAAAGTTTTTGCACAATGAAGGTTGTAACTGAGCTTGTCCCAGGGCTAGCTTTTTAGGGGTACGCACCCCCCAAGAAAAATTGAATTCCAGCAACCTTAGCAACATTTTAGAGAAAATATTTTACGTAGAACACGTTTACAAGCCGCATGATGCTGACGCAAGCAGTTCTCACGGAAGCCTCGGGCGCTGCAAGCAGCATGATGCACGCAGTTCACACGAAGAACCAACAAATATAGGCGTAAATAAAGCGCGATTTTCGGCATCACGTTCTCCAAGCTAGTGAGCTAATCCCGTGGCGATCACCCAGTCCGCTAGGGATCCTTCCCTACCATTGGTTCAAGTACCCCATTTTTTTGCGGCTCCCAAATTCACCTCCGGATTTTTGTCGGGATCCCTCTCAAGAACCTTGTTGTAGGTTTGATGGCGTATTCCGAGCAATGTGTCTCCTATTAATTATTTTATCCAGAACTACTAATGGCTCGTTCCACTTGTGACTGGCAGCAGTCACGCGACAGCATTTTGGTCACCAAGCGACGGTCGCGGTCGCATAGGTGCCCGATTTGGAGCAATCGCTCGCTGACGGAATTCGAAATGCGTTAGCATTTATTGCCTGGTGCATGCAGCACTATTTTGTTTGGTTTCGTTTGGTTTGGACTGGACTTTACCATGTACTAAACTGGTTTCGCGATGCCGCGGTTCGGTTCCCGCCGTGCTCTTTCGCTTCGTTCGTTAGCTCGTTGCGTCCACTTTTTCTCTTGCCTAAAGGGTAAGAGTGCCGCACGCTTGCAATGACGCGCCGTTGCTGACGCGCGCCCCTATAAAAGCTGCGGTGGCTGGAGCCGAAACCGCCGATGCCCGGGTGAACAGACTGGTTCTCCGAACACAAAGAATCCCCCGCGCCAAGAGCTAATGCATTTCGTCGAGAATCAGGGAAGCGACAGCAGCGAGTCATGGCACACCTTTTTTTCGGCCCGGTGGCCGAGTCACCGAACGGCTGAGCCAATCAGCGGCGCCTCAAAAGTGACGAGGTGGCGCGTCGCGTTTGCTTACATCCGGCATCCCGGCATTTCTGTGGTAGATGTAACCAACATGTCCGCGGAACTCCTCGGTTCGCAGTAGCTGCGTGGAGGTCACACCTACCAATATACGGAAGGTATAGCGCGAATGCAGCAACGTCGAGCAAAGAACCACGGAAATAATTAACGGTTGCGTGAATAATTATACAGCGCGTAATCGGTCAGCCGTATTAAAGTTGCGACGAGTCACTCGCTGTAGATGAGCAATTTAGTCAGTGCAACCACAAGATACCACAAAACAACCACGAGACGACGCGAAGACAGCGGTTTTGCCTGCTTCCGCCCCGACAAGCCGCGCCCGAGACCTCATGCGCAGGATGTTATCCTTCGCGGTTCACCGCCCGCGAGTCCAACAGACCTGCACGTGTTCGGTCCGCCGGGCGAATCCCCGCTAAACGAGACACACGTCCGTAGAAGACCGCGGCAGCCAAGCGACCAGGAGGAACTCGGCCCTCGCCCGTCCTCCTTCCCGGAGACTCAAGACGCGGGGAAGAAACCCACACCCGGGTAGGAAGAGAGAGGGCAGCCTCCGACCGTATCGGATTTAGAACCCTCGGCGAAAGACGCGTGGGAAGAGCCGCAATAGCGTTTGAGTGACGGGCGTTTGGGCGCCGCGATGCGGTCCCGTGTACCGAGAGCCTGCCTGTCGAGCTCCGCTGCCAAAACACGCCCCCGATGGCCCTCCCGGGTGTGTGTGTCAGTTTGGGTAGCGGGCATCGAGCGCGGGTGTCGAAGTCTCGCGAAACTGGCAGCTAAGCTGGCTCGACTTGAGGACCTGCCGTCAGGGAGTCGGGCCACAAACAAGGCGCCCGGTGACGTGCCTTCGAGTCTGCTTGTTAAAGGGAAGGACGGCGCTTCGGACGGGAGCGCCCGTGGATGTCTGACGCGTGAGGGGTGTCGCGCGATGCTAAGCGCGGGGATGCTGCGAGAATAGCTTTGGGTGTTTCGAGTCCGCAGGGGATGCGATGAGCTCGGGCTGGGTCTGAACGTCGATCTTTCTTTTTTTTTTTTACTTTATTCTCTTGTTTTGAGAGAATAACATGCGGACTCTGGAAGGTGTGGTAACGGCATTCGAAGCTGATGGGCGATAACGGATATGCACGTACTACCTTTTACAGAACCTTAAACATTTGCCAAGGTGAGTTTTGGAATGAAAGACCGTTCGTGCACCTACACCGATGCATTTTTGAAGTTATATTTTTAAACGCACTAATTTTATGTTATGCCACTCTCAAAACAGTCAGTAAGGTGAGTCCATTAGCATAAAATACACGGTGTCCACGCGAAATTGGTTCTTGACAAGTACAGTGAAACTAAGAAAGCTTGGGAATGGTCTAGTAAAACTGGTTTGTTGTAAGAATATTAGCGTATGAATGGACGAAACTGAAGTGAGCTTTGTCGTCATTTACAGGGAACAAACGTATATGACCTCTGTTGCAATTCGTAAGTGGCTGTTCGTTAAATTTTCACATTTATTCTCCTTTCAATTAAATGAAGTTGCCATGAATACCACATGACAACCACTAGGCACCATTACTACCCTTACCAATTTCTGAAATTTCCCAGCGCACACGTGCACATCAACCAGGACATCTAAATACTCATGTACAGAAAAACAACTTAGTTCACCCAAAGTGAAGAAAGTAATAGCTACGCCACAATAAAACAACTAAAGAAGTCATTACAGTCTTCATATGTGACTTTTCTATAGTCCCGCACTCGCCAATATCCCGAGAAACCCGACAGGGAAGCCAACCTTTTGCAGATGGAACTTATGCGGACCGTCGCTAGACAAACAGGGAAATATCAGTTGCCCTTGAGCTAAACCATTGTTTTTTACAAGATATTCAAGAATCGGATTCTGCAAATAAACAATTCCTCGAAAAACTGAATGATCGCTCGAGTGATTGCTTTATGTCTGATACACAAATTAGGTCGACTAAACGCTCTCACAACGCTCGAGATTACGACACGCGAATTGGCAGCATCAAACACTGCACAGACGGGTGGCGGTGGAACTGACCTTTGAGCGACACGGCGCCGGTCTTGCAGGCCGCCTCGTAGCTGCTCGGCTGACTGAGGGCCCTGGAGAAGTGCTCGTCCACCACCGACGAAATGTCCCCACTGTAGTACGTGAACACGACACAGTTCGCCGACAAGTACTGAGCGTCCGCCGCGGCCGCGGTCGTCGCCGTCGCTGCAGAAGAAGACGTGGCCGGCGAAGACCTGGACGCGGCGGTGGACGACGAGGGCTTCGCGGCCGAGTTGGGCTCCTCGTCCCCGGTCCGGTTGAGCGGCGTGACCGGGGACGAAGATGCCGAAGCCACGGCGATGGCACACGACGAGGACCGTCCCCCCGTCGGTGCCTGGGGCTGGGAGGCTCGGTGGATGCTGGCCGGAGCCTGCAGGGGCGCAGGGGAAGACACCGGCGAGGACACGCTGCCCGACAGCAGGTCTTGCATCTTGGGACTCACGAACCTCTGTGGGCAGAAAAACGGTTGCGGGGTAAGCTTTTTTAACGCGAGTATTTCATTCCGTTTTTGTATTCCCGTTCAAGACGATGGCGATATAATTGGCTTTTTTGTTTTGTTTGCAAATATTGGGGCGCTCACTCTCAGCAGGCCCATCCTTCGATGGAGCAGCAGGTTATCAGCAAACGCAGTCAGATAAAACACCTGTGTAAAACGCCACGGAATATGCACTAACTACAAAGTGTCTAAGTGTTGCGAGCGAGGCCAAAAGAAATAGCGGAACAGTATGTATGGTCTCTCTTTCCTATAGCCGCTCTACGCTATCATACGAAGCTCGAATACTCTGTTACTCGAAAGAGCGGGCTCAATTAAATCGCGTTTGAAACCAAGGTGGGCGCTGATGTGAAAGCACTTGAATCTACAAAACACGTGAATCACACGACAAATGTGATGTCACATAAAAAAAAAACAAAAAAAAAAACGTGTAGGCTGCGCATACGACACGGCCGCAAGTTTTAGGCCTGACGTCTACGTGCCAAGTCCAGTGAAATGAAACTAATGAATTAAATGTAACATATATATTCACGACTCTGCGGCAGAAGACCGCCTCCCCGAGCACCGACCATAAAGTTGGTGGTCCATCAGTTGGTGGCCCATCGTGACCACCAACTGAGATCCCCGACATCGGTGATCTCAGTTGGTAGTCCCGATGAGCCCATATCACTGGCCACACCTTAAAAAAAGCTGAAGAGGCTCTAAAAAATAAAAACACGAGTTAAGGGTAAAACCAAGCGTATTTTGGTCTCGTAAAGTTGAATATCACAAGCATTTGACCCGAACGTAACAATAAACGGGAGAAAAACCGAAAAACCAACCGCTAGCTGTGGCGTCATGACCAGAGGTTTCAACTGCATTGCGCGTGTCGCTTGTGAGAGAACGCGTGAAGCGTCTTTGACAGCTCGGCTGAGGCTTGCGGAAGGCACGGAAATGTTGAGATCTCTGTATGATACGTCACGACTATCTCCTTCCACCGAACGCGCCGGGAAGGAGGGGCTTCAGTGCTATTTTGAAAGATCTGTTGTGACTACTTTACTCAGCAATTTGAAATATAATATTGATATTTGTGATCCTGAAAAAGAAATAAAGACGATTTAAGTTTTTTTTTCTTTTTTTTTCTTTTTCTCATATGCAAAACCATTTGAGGTTCCCTTTAATATGCAGAAAGACGAAGCAAAACATCGCCTGTGAGGTTTGAACCCAGTTCTTTTCCAGTTTGCTTTGCAGAAAAACACCGGAATTACGCATTGTATACAAATAAGTAGAGTTTGACAAGTGCCCAAGCTATTTCAACTCGTCTCAGTGAAACAAACACGCATAATCTTTCAAATGTTTCCTTTTTTTCGCTTTTTGTTTTGTTTTGGGATCATTGAGGCCAGCTCTCAGGACTTGACGCGTTCTGCTCCTGCCTTTACCACTCTGGCGCCGACCGACGCACAGCCTCCGGAATCGGCTATATAGAGGTCTTAACTCTGACGTAAGACATATCACGACAGAAGAAAACGGGATGAAAATAATAATACTTTGGAGGTCGTCGCAGATATAGAATTTTGAGTGGTTGATCGAGAGTACATAGGCCAAAGACGCTTACGTCAACGACACACGCTGAATAAACGATAATAATCCCCGAATAAGGGAAAGGGGGGGGGGGGGGGGGACATAGGACAAACACGAATCTCCAACAGAGCTAGGTGATTGGTGCGTGACTGAAAAAATCTGCCTGCTCTAAGTATCGAACGAGGGACCTCTCTACCTCTCTATTTCCAGTGGAGCGTTGTACCAACTGAGCTAACCAGGAGTTAGACGTCAGTATGTGCAAACTGGTTTTAACAGCTGCCAGCAGTCTAGCACCATCAAGGGTGAATGGCCTGCATGTTATGGTTATGATGATGATTCAATTAAATGCAAAGGTGCAGGCGAGCTGGACAGAATAAAACACAATAATACCCGAAGAAGGGGAACGAGGGGGACAAAGGACAAACATAAAAACAAAATGCTTCCGTCGCGCACCAGTCATCTAGCTGTGTTGGAGATTTGTGTTGGTCCATTGTCCCCCTTGTTCCCCTTCTCCAGGGATTATTGTTTTTTATTCCGTCCAGCTCGGCTGCACCTTTGCATTAATTGCATTATCATGAGAAACGCTGTTTGTGCGATGGCACGTCACCACGATCTACGCGTTGTTCCTTTAGAGGGGGTTCGGGATTACGAGCCGAGAGTGCGTCACGTGGTACCGCCTTATAGTGAGGTCTATATCCGTTGCATAAGTTTCCGTACACGCTCCCCTTCGGATGAGACGTTGTGACGTAAAAAACGTTGAGATATACTATGCGCCAAGAAACTGAGGGAGAGGAGAAGACGAGAGCGGCGTGGTGACATCAGAACGCCGAGCTCTGGTTGGACGAATTAGTGGGTAGACCTAAAGCTGGCTGTTTTTGACTCTACAGCACTTGTCGAACTCGTTAGGACACGGAACGCCGCATTACTGCATTTGGCTCTCGCATTCGAACGCGTTCGACGTGTGCAGTGGAGACAAATGCAGCTGGCTAGCTTTAGGTCTAGCCAGTAATCAGTTCCAACCAGAGGTCGGCTCTCTGACGTCCTCCATGCGCTCTCGTCTCCTCCTCTCCCTCAGTTTTTTGGTACATAAGAAGGACGACGTGCAGTTTTGCGTGCAGCAGCAAAACGCCCAGTCGGCCTTACATGTCTATATAAATATATATAATTCATAAAACCGATAACATTATTTTTGAGTACGCTGCTCTGTCGACCCTCTCGAACGAGATGGAGGCTTGATTGCCTTTCGCCTCTGCCTATAATTGTGATCCTGAGACAAGAGGACTGCTACATCGACGATTACAACTAAAGCAGTGCTGCGTCTGTTTATCGAATAAAATATAAAATGCTCTTTTTGTTTTAACGGACCCCCCAATCTCATAGTTTTGCCCAACAGTTCTTTCGTGCATTTCCCGCTAAATTTAGAGGGGAAACTGAATTGGTGTTTAGGTCACGCGACGTCAATGGACCTTTTCCATATACCGACGGCACCAGGCGGTGGCTGCACGAACTAAAAAATCGAGGAAGTGACCTGCGCTACCAATCAATAATGGGAGCTACGTTACCAGTTGCTTCGCTCTCTGAGCAGCGTCGCGTGCCCAATGCAACGAGGTAGGCCTAGCGCGACTTTAAAGAAGGAAATCCGTAGCGTCCACCCAAACGTCGTGTTTTTCTTTCCGTCCACTTTCTTTTTTTGTGTAACACAATTATATATATGCTGCAATTACGTGTTCTACTCGTCGATTTACAGCCTCATTCCGAATTTCCTCGATTTTTTTCGTGCCGACTTCCACCGCTTGGCATCGGGCGCTCGCGCGTGCGCAGAACGCTTCTCGGAAAAGGTCCATTGGTACGTGACCTGGCGTCGTGTGGTCTATTCAGGAATTGAGCTTTTCTGCCAAAAACGGCGGGAAAATGGATGCCACGTGACCTGACGCCACGTCAGCTATGCACCAGTTCACTTTCCTCGAGAAATTTAGCGAAGAAATTTGATGTCACGTGACCTGACGTGAAGTGACGTCAGTGTTCTAGGCGTTACCGAAAAAAGTAACGAAATACGTTACTCGTTACTTTCAATATAAAGAGACGCTTTACGGACCTACGTTATCTCAAAATGAACGGAACGCGTGTTACTGTTACAGACAAAAAGTGACGCAGGTTACTTTCGCGTTGCTTTTTATTTCTACGTAATCAGTCAGAGAGTTTTTTTTTTTGTTTTGTTTTTGCGACAGCGTTTTTCTACACTGAGACGAAGGGCGTCTGCTATGGGGTCTTTCTAAAGCGGAACCTTTTTACGGTCTTGACTGCACGTGGAATGATTGCAATAATGAATGACTCAGCGCCTATACTTCGTTTCAGCGCTAATCCAGACGCAGCCGACATTACAATCTAATGGTGCCAATCAAGAAGCTTCAAAAGCGCAAGTCACTGGGCTCTTGTTTGCTTACGTTTGGTTTGGCGATGATAGAACACGTACAGAAACACGACGAACATCATGATGGAGCCCCCTTGACGCTGTCTCATTGCTCCCATCAGCTCGTAGCGTCGGCGCGTCTGAACTTGGGGTGAAACGAAGTATAGAAACACGAAAGAAATTTAAGTGTACTCTTTTAGGTTGTGCGAGAAAGATGTAACGAGTAACGTAACGACATTACCCGTTGCTCGAAATAATTAACGGAACTACGTTACCCGTCACTGTTCTGAAATGATAACAAGTACGTTACTACCTTACTAAAAAGAAGTTACGCGTTACCGATAACGCCGTTACTCGTAACGCGTTGCCGCCAACACTGCGTGACGTATACACCGAACCAGTTTCCCGTGTAAATTTAGCGGAAAATGTGATTTCACGATACCTGACGTCACGATCGAGATCTACACACCCAATTTAGGTTCCCCCTCTAACTTTAGCAGAAAAATTTACGTCGCGTGACATATACACAAATTTAATGTCCCCGCGAAATTTAACGGGGAAATAGATCTCACGTGAGCTAGACACTTTCCGTTTCCGCACTAAATTCAGCGGAAAAATTGACGTCACGTAACCTGGCTGTACATGACGCATGTAACAATACAATTTCCCCACTTGTAGTAGTAATAAAACACGTGTATTGTGCAAAAAAAAGGGGGGAATAGGGGAAGGGGAGCGCGTCAATGGCTACGAGGCCTGGACGTCCTGGCACACGACAAACGCAGACACACATTGAACTCCGCTAAATCAAGCAGGAAAATTGACGTCACGGGAGCTATACACCCCGTTTCCCCGATCAATGTGGCGAGGAAATGAATAAAAATCAAGGATTCCTCTTCACTCCCCGAAACGACCGTTTATTGCATTCTAAATCAGTTTAAACGATCGCACTTGAAATACTGCATTTTATGCAGTAGAGGACTTAAAA